AATGGAAACGTATTGAGAACCGGAACCCATATTACTTTTTTCGGTTCTTTTTCGTTTTTACGGTTCTTTAACAGGTTATTGGAAGTTGAAGGACGCGCCGGCAACCACGTCCTGAAAATTGATAAAATATTACTCTATGATTGCCATCGGTGGATTATAAATTTTTAGGTGTCGAAATTGAAGGCATTACGGGTGGCGGTGGCGCTAATTTAGCCACTACTTAAAAAAAAATAAAAAAGGAGGGGTGAGGTTTTAGAAAATAAAATTTTCTGTTTTTTAGTAATAAATTAAGTGTAAATACATATTTCCCTCTTCCTTGTTTATTTCCATTGTCGTTATAAATTAGCTACACTGACGATACGTCACGTTTTGGTATTCATGACATTTTCTTCACACCAATTAATTAACAAATCACGTTCTTATAATTTCTGAAAAACTAGAACCGAAAATAACCGTTATGAACCGAAAAAAATGCGCAGAACCGAACCGTTATTTCTTTTTAGAACCGAAACCGAACCGGAATCGTTATAATTATTTTCGCTTAAATATAAACAGAACCGGAACCGATATTTCATTTGGGTCCGGGTCTCTGGTTTCGAGCCTACAGTTCAATGTCGAAGACAATCACGGAATTAGGTGTTGTAACTCAAATTTGACGCAGGCGGTACACCAAAAACGTAAACAATTACAAACAATAGCATACCGGTAACACATATGTGATTCTCCATTGCGGTTAAACCAAGTAAATTTCAAAAACAAAGATTGAAACACAAAAAATATAAAATGTGGCATACAAAACACCATATAAAAAAATGCAAAAATTACTACCTGCATTAAACAACACAAAATAACAACAAACATTTATGGAGCGACGCGTTCAAGACCGCCATTCAAGACAAGATGCCAAACGTAACCCCCGTGCGTGCTTTTTAGATGGCGCAGGCAGCTTTTTTCCACTAAGGTATACTTTACCTTATTTTCCACCTAGAACCTAGAAATTGCATGGTTGCCAACTCTCAAAAATGTATGTATCGTCGTAAGTCGTATATACAGGGTGGAACCTCTCACACGGGTATTTTTATTTTTAATGTACTTTGTAGATCAGGAATAAAAAATGTAGTCGGGATGTCCCTATTACATAATTTCCACGTTTAAAACAAATAATCAAAATATATATGTATATTACTTCTGGTCACGATCATGTAATCAAAACATCAACATAAATTAAGCAAACATTACGCCAAAAGCGTAAACGATTTCAAACAAAAGGTTAACGGTATCAAATATGTGATTCTGCATTACGGTTAAATCAAATCAATTTCAAGAACAAAGATTGAAACTCACAAAAAAAGTTGCATACAAAACACATGTTATAAAGAAATGCATTAAATAACACAAAAAAATAACAAACATCTACGGATTGATGCTTTCGTGATCGCCATTAAAAACAAGATGCGAAACATTACCAACGTTCGTGCTCTCCAGGCGCAGACAGCTTTCCCCTCCCAAAGTTCTGGTATCGGCTTGTTGTGTGTGTGTATTTATTTGTTCTTATCTTTTTTACGCACAAAATTCTGCATTTTATTCAATTTCATTCCCGATTATGTCTCACGTCCCAACACATAAAAGAACAGTCTAACCACACGCTAAAGAGTACCAATGCTGTACACGAGAAATGACCGATCTTGCATACAGTATAGACCACCTCACCAATTAATGTTGGAAATCCCCCCGTTTTATTTTTTTTTTACCTTTTGTCAAAACTGTATTCCACGCACCGCCTCCATTGAAGCTGCTACACAATCTGAAAACAGATTTCTACAACCTACTGTTGTGTACATAGATGATTTTACCTTGTCTCTTTGTCTTTGGTTCACATATATATTTTTTTTACCATCAAAGCTGAAAAGATTTTGTGCAAAATCGCGCAGGTGAGAGGGTGGTATCTGTGCTAGCGGCAGAAGTGTACGATTTGATGTTAATTTGTCAGCAGATAAATTTCATTGTGTGCACCTACAGTAGAGATCAATTTTATTTTTTGTTTGAAAAGGTTTCAAGAAATTTTTTAAGAAAAGCAAGCAAATCTTTAAACAGTGTAAATAAATAAGTTTATTACAATCCAAATTCCGCTATTTCGGCTTGTGTAATAATTAACACAGTAAATAATTTTAGTAAAGAAAATTTTGACTGTACTTGTTATTTCGTTTAGATTGTGATATTTTACAGTTGTACTATATTATTATTACGTCGTTTCAGCTGTTGTCAGATAACTTAATTGAGATTATCTTGAAAAACAAACAAAAAAAAGTACTTCAGTCAGATTAAAATGTACACTATACAACGGAAATGATAATATTAATCTAAGTCTGTATTTTCTGTTAAAAGTCTACTGGTGGAAGGCGATGCTTGTACCGAATTATCATCATCACTGTCGTCATCTAAACCGCTAAGGAAGCTATGTAAAAAATTTCCAAAGAACCCTCTTCGTTGCTGTGGTGGCGGTTTTAAACCGAAAAAAATTTGCCCAATTTTATCCAAGTATTGCATGTAACATGGATCCCTTTTAATGGACGGTTCGTATTGCTCACATAGAACGGTGAAAGTCGATAGTTTCTGGCTATAATCAAAAGTCAGAGGTCAACACGTGTCCGCATCACGGTACACTTGCCTTTCGACTGCT